TAAAAGAAGTCATCGATTCTCATGACAGTTGTAAAATTGACGACAATGATATAGGAATCAAATCAGAAATTAAGTATCTTGGACTCATTCTCTCTTCTGATCTCTCCTGGTCTTCCCATGTCTTAGCAATCTCCAGTAAAATATTCCGCCTGACATTTTACATTAAGAAGTTAAGACACTCGGGTATAACTCAACCCCTCCTCTTACAGTTCATAAACTCTTGCATCCTACCTATTCTTCTTTATTGCTCACCCTTATTCTTTCCTGGTTTGCTTAAAAAGGACTATGTCACAATTCGTAGAATACTGAAGACTGTCAGTAGGGTGAGTGGTGTCCCAGTGGACCACATAGTTAACGTCGTTGTCGATAGGCACTTGACTTCGTGCAATAAATTTGCTAAAGGGATTTTGTCTGACTTGGAGCATCCGCTTTACCCTCAGCTTTCACCTTGCATCTCCTCAGGTAGAACAAGGAGTAACTTCAGAAAACTGTATGCTCGCACGTCTAAGTATAAAAATTCTATGATACCATACTTGGCACGTATTTTATGTGATGAAAATAGTGTCAGGCAAGAATTAACTAACCTTTTTCATCTAGTAAATAAACAATTTCCTCCATCCATCCTTATATACCTTCAAGTTTTACTTTTATTACTTCTATTATATTTATGGTCCTGTTACTTCTCTGTTTTACTCTCATAATTGCAAACACCAACTTATCTCCATGACGGCTGTAATCTTTGTTTTTCCCTTCACCATATCATGTAAAGAGAACATTATATTCAATATTTTTAAACATGTTAGGATTTCTATACCACATTGCCAATACTGTGTGACACAAGCCAACGGCAATTTTCACTTGTATTCTTATTATTATTACCCTAGCTGTTATCATTATTATTGCTATTTCCATTTTATATGCTGCATGTTTTTGACACTACCTCTATTGTAAATGTGGAAAATTTTCTGTGTGATTAATTTTATTTATAATTTGAGGAAATTAGATGCAATATTGTGATTAATGCTGAAAATTCCATTCTGTATCACAAGTACTGTTTTTGGAATAAAGTAAATCATTATTATTATTATTAAGTTTCGAAGTCGTGTGATTATAATTGGGGATATGGTTATGAACAATAAATTTTGTTCGGGACTTTGTCATCCAGTAAATAATACTGTTACACTGACTGTGTGATACATCTAATAAACAAACTAATACGGAATAACCTACCCGGTACACACCAATAGCCGGTAACTTCATGGACGCATACAACTTTTTAGCCTAGTCACGCTTCAGCCTCTTCCAATCTAATCTTGCTTATGCAACTATGCCACCAACCAACCATTTTCGGAGATGTAGCTTTATAATTTTCTATAATGGACTATCATCTCAGCCAAAACCTTTAAATCATCCATCAAATACAAACAATATTAAAAGGAGAATGGTGTTAAAACACTCAATCTTCGCAGACCTTCTGAAATGAATATGATTATGTTCTGCGATCACAAGTACACGTAACCCTCCTTAACTGAGAACCCGATGTATTTATTCTCTATGACATAAAGCAACTTGGAGAAAGTCAAACAAAACTTCACTGATTCTCAAACCATCAGCGTCAATGTACCAAGTAAAAGTTAACTAGATTATTATCAACGGGCACACAACAATTTACTTCTTATAGTCCAATGTCTTGGAGGTTTGCTTGAATGGATCTCCACCCAACACAATATATATATATCAACTTCTCTATAGTTCTCCTATTATTTTGACTATTCAATTATAGCCATGGGTTGGTTACAAAATGTCCTCAAGCACATCTTTAACTGTGTATTTCTCAAGAACGCATAGGAATTGGTTTATGCTACACAGATAGAACATCCCTGAGTCATGTGATGTACTATAGATTATTGATTTACTCAAAGATTCTGGACGGAAAAGAAAATATTGTGCAATAAATTAAACTGAGAGTTTTGCACAATGTGTAAACATTTTGTCCAGAATTCAGTTGCTGTTATTGTTGTTGTTATCGTAATTGTAGGTGGAATATTGAAACTAGCGAATTCTGAAGCAATAATTAACATTCAGGAATTTAAAAAAAGTATCAAACATTTCTAGATTGTCAATTAATATGAATGAACATTCATAAAACACAAATTCTTTCCACAATTGGAAAGAACAACAAACTGAGGGAAGAAATATATTCCTTTTCAACCAGTTTTTTATCACTAATGCCATTAGTCATGTGGTTATGTCAATCAACAAGAAATATAAATTTTCAGGTATAGGAGGGGAGTGAAAACAATTACGGAATTCAAGATCACCTAACTTTTAGGAGTGAGTAACAAGTTATAACATAATCAATAATTTTTTAAAATAACGATAACTAAAAGGAATAGATAGACGAATGGTTTAAGAATACCGAGATATAAATAAGCTAGAATAGCAATCATAATGAAATAACAGAGTCAACTGACTGCTAAAAAGATTAGGGAAATTCACTAGTAAGACTTTGTACATAGTAACGAGGAAAGGAAAACAAAAACAATGGGACTATTTGTTAGAGTGCCGCAGTAAGTTGATCGTGTCACACCTAATGGATTTCTCATCACATAACAGCTGTGCCAGATATGGTATTGTGAAGTTTTTGTGCTTGGTAGTCCTAGCATATAGCCTCCTATAGCTGCTTCTAGTTCTACCAGATGAAATGCAAGGAGACAGCTGCGTGTAGGGAGAATACTCGGGGTCTGACAATACTGTATTCGCTAGTTTCTTACATGACATTATATGTCTATCAACAATAGTGTTAACTAGTTGGTTTAACGATATCCCGCTTGCCCTACTTACGGCTTTTAGTGCCCTTCTCAGCAATGCAAAGTCTTTCTTAAGTAGTCCAGGAAAGATTCATGGGAAGCAGTAAAGGGAGATGGGTAGAATACAAGAATTGACAAACTGAGAAAGCAAAGACTGCTTAATACTAGACTGCCTAAACTTCCTAACGTAGAACGTTAAGCGAAACATCTTTCTAGTAACTAACAAGATGTGGGAGGACCAGGAAAGATCGGTGGAAAAACTCAGCCCAAGGTACTTGATATTAGATGTATTTTCAACCTCTATGCCGTCAATGATAGTGAGGTCATGTGAGCTAGCCAGTTGTTGTAGGTCACGTTTACGTCTGAAAGTGAAGTCGACTGCCTGACATTTAGACGGACTTAGCTTAAGACTGTTTGAAGAGGACCACCGACTAATTTTAGACAGAAAGTTATTTAATTTGGAACAATCTGACTGAGAGTTGACAGGCATAGAAACAGAGAGGTCATCAGCATACTTAACAAAAGTGGCTACATCAGAATAGGGCAAGTTGGGTGAAATACGAGAAATAACTTTAAAAGCTTTGTTAGTGTTAATTTGATCTCCAGTATCGACGAGATGAGCTAGTGTTGAGCTGTGTATAACTTTATTCGGCCATTGGCCTAACTAAAATGGCGGGCGAGGGAGTATTGTTCACAAATTCGATTATGAACTTTTTTAATCGTAAGCCCAACAGAACTAGCTCTGCAGGAGCAGTTAAACTGATAAATACACACGAAAAAGAGGAAATTAGATAGTTTGTTTTTATCTCATGAACGAAGTATGGGTTGGTTGGTGAATAAGCAGCATGGCTTAGCTGAGTTGAAAGCCCTTTTGAAGACTTGTATCAGACGCTGAGTTACAATCTCACTATTAAGATTTCTCGTGAACTGTAATCTTAAGGATACTTATTTTTTCAAAACTGTAAAGATCCTGGACTTTTTACCCGTTAAATCCATGCGTTTACTCAAAAATTTCATCGAATATTCGTTTCTAGTTATCAGGTCACTAACACTTGCGAGTTCTAGTTTGTTTCATCCAAACAAATAACTCTAGCACGGACGAAACTCAGAAAGTGAGTAAATTAGCCAGTCGATGTAGACTTTGCGAAGTACGCTTCTGCATATTGTTCCATCCACTCATTTTGTCATTTGAACATCCAAAAACGAGATAAAGTCATTCTAATCGTATTGTTTAGTAAACCTTATGGTACCTTGCCTCATTTTCGGTTCCATAAGATTATAAATGTACCATCACCACAACAATAGAATCAATCGAGATCATTTAAGGACTCTTTACGAGGGCCATTCTATAGTTTCCCGAGGAAAAACTCTACTAGGATTAGATCTAGTAGTGGTCTCATAGGAAAACCATCTGACTTTCTACAAATCTCTCTATTGAGTCGAAAATTTGCGTTCATCGTGCATCTTTGAGGAAGTTACTTTAGGGATACTCATCCCATCTCTACACGTTCATTTATCAGTTCATTACATGTTTCCATCGTTACACTATTTCCATTAAAGACACATTAGTAATTAAAGAAACCACATAAAGAGACATATTACTGACTGAAAGGATTCAGTCTGCACCAAAGCAAGGACTAGACGCATGACACTGGTTACTATCTAGTGACCGATCAAAGTATCCATTAGAATTCTACAGGATGTCAATCAAGAGGGCAAATAACTCAGTGGTAATGCCTCTGACTGCAGATAATAAGTGCATGAAGAAACATGGGGATTTCATAGATTTGGAAGATTACAAAGAATGAATGTATCCACGTCAATGAGAACAATTTAAAACTATGTCACCAACGCTTCCAAGCGACTGGCTCTTAAAGTCACCTAGTCTACTCCTTCCTACGTGATTCAAACCAACAGTCAAAGACTTCATGGATTAGCTCCATGTTTTGATTTGACCACCATGAACTATTTTCCAGCCTAGACCTATATTAGCTAAAATCGCCATCACAATCGATACAGCTTCACAATCTCGCCGATTAACTTCCCCTTCATACCAAAAATCTGGGTTACAACCGATACAACTTAACGTTATCTGAGCACTATTCCTTTCAGTCAACAAAGTATCACATATCTTGAATTATATTTGAAAACTGGCAATGAAAACATAAAACAGTGAAATACTAAACGTACCTGGTGCTAATGACGCTAAGGCCTGTAAGAGTTCATAATTAATAACAGGTTCAGATTCTGGTTTCGGTTCCCAACCGACAGGAGGTGAAGTAGGTGGTGAAAGCAGAAATAACCGAGAAGGTTTTGGTGGGGCTAAGTGTTTCATTGAACCACGTGGACGACGACGCTTGTACTTGCCATGTTTACACAATATTTGTCGCAAATGGCCATCATTTACACAAGATGGTATTATGGTATTATCGTCACCAGAGGCCTCACTTGTACTTTCGAACTCAGGAGTACTTCTAGTTAGACCAGCATTCATATCATTTTGAGCTCCAAAACTGCCACCACTACTGACACTTTGTAGAGGCACAGAAGGTGAAGCGATAAATTCAAGGGAATGAATTGAGCTTATTTCACTCGTCTCTCGGTTCGACAATTTACTGTTGCCTGTTGAAGCCGTCTGAAAATCTGCATTTCCTTTGAAATCATCAGGTTCATTATCTTCCACATAATCATCATCTCCAACAGAACCTTCAGGACTTTCACAGCAATCACAAATATCTTCATCTTCATCCATTTCATCAGAATCTACACTGTCACCAAAATGTCCAATATAACAATTAATTCCATTATCATTCACATTTATTGAACTATCTGGAATGTTAGCATAAATATGTCCAGGGAGTTTCCAGCCTTGTGTCTGCAAACGTGCCAATAATGCGGCTTCTGGTCTGTTCATGTATATCTGAAAGAATATTCAATCAGCCTTTATTAACAAAGACCATCAAATGAAATCCGTATCTATTCATAACTATATTTTCCCTTTCGTTAGCATTGCGACAGGAATATAGGAATTCAAGCTTTGGGGATTCAGTAGCGCTTGAGTTGTTTCTACGGGATAGGAATGCTAGCCATATGCTAAATCTTTCCTGCTTCCCGGGGTTATTACCCGGGTGTGTGGTGGCGGCAAATCGAGCCCTGAACCACGTGTGTGGCTGGTATTCTACCCTCAAACAACTGGCGCATACTGACAACTATGAGAAAACATGAATTCTGAATATAGCCAACCCAAGTCAACAAAATCAAATCCAGACCTTCAACCATTGACAGGTACAAGAACACAAATACAAATGTTCGTCAGTAGCAGCAATAGCGCTTGATTTTGGTTATCAGTATATATTGTGTGATGCACATCACCTTATAAAAGCACCTTTTTGAATTATTTTATTTTATTAAGAACTGAGTTGAGCAGTCGTTTACATTTTGAGTTGTAGAATGAATTTCGAGAGCAACATCTCCATTTTATACAAACTGATTTCACAAGAAATGAAATGATTAGGATGAAGTACACACTTATGACATAAACCAAGTATTGCTTTCATAATCTGCGCTATATATACTTACTAACTTCACCTCTTATAAACTAATGTGATATAAATGAACTTAAATCTATTTGCAATTAGACTAGATCCAACGAAGTGAATTTGTTCTAAGTGAGGTTTAGAGGAAAAAATATTGATTGAAAAATTACTGTGGATGAGATTTGCCATCAACAGAATGAGATATACCACTAAGTCAAATTCTTTAATATGATAAAAGCAAACTTAAATGTGTAAAGGAAGTGCTTTGCACTAGTACTACAAGTTAGATAATCTATACATGAATGAAAATTCGACTACATTATTTTTAGTTTATAAAGATCGATTTCACCATGCACAACTCGTAATTCATGCATGAGAAGGAATCCCTATATATTTAATTATAAGAAATGAGCTTTGTTCCAAATCAATACAGGTCATAATCAACGCAGTGTAAGTTGGATTGAGGAATAGTTGTTCTTTTAAAGTGTATTTAGGGTTATTAGCCCTCAGCTGTCAAATGACGCCATCCGATAAGAACTGTAAATCTAAAACTAGTATTTTTTTAGAGCAGTAATAGTCTGTAATACCATAAGTTGTAATTCAAACCTTGCAGCCATTTCACTAAACTTTGGTTTTTATAAGCATAAAACAATACCAATTACCGTAATTAACAGAGCTACAGATGTTTGGTACTAACTCAAATAATTTATTTCGCAATATGGAAGGTTGGTTGTGATAAAATTGCGCGTCAGATTAGGAGGACATTCAACTAACCACTGCACTGTAGATAGGATCACTTCGGTTAAGTGACCAATTCGACTGAAACCTGAGACCTTTTGAGTGTAGTAAACGTTTTCATGTTTGAAATGACCGGAAACTACTTATTGGATGGTTCAGTAAGAACTTGAAAAATACAAATATCATTATTGTTAGGCAGGGAAGATTTGCCGATAAAGTTCTTCTATAGTTCTAATTAATAACTGGTCCCTATAGCATTGAGTAAAATATTATGAAAATAAATAATGGTGTCATTAAAATATATGTAAGAAATGCTCTAAACTTACCAAAACCCTTTGAAAGCTTGGTAGATACACAAATTTGGACTGATTATCAAACGACCTAAATAATTCCTCAAATGATTCCTTGGGAAAATAAAGTTACTAGATATAACAAACCTGTGCAATGCTGTACTTGAAAACTTCCGGTGGGACATTTGTTATGATAAGTTTCAGAGAGACTTCTCTGAGGACTTCTAGAATCTCTTGTATTTCTCCGGGTGAAAATACAGATCCTTTTTCAGCCAGGGTCATCTGTAGCTTTTGTGCCTCACTAGAGTCCTTATCCATTTGACGTCATCAATAATTCCACGAGCAAGACCGACAAATGGGCATGACCTTCAGACAGACTATAGCGCCAAGTCCTTGGATTGTGAAGCAGTAGAACAACATGACCTCATTTTGCTTCCGCTTTCTTGCTATGAGAGATGAAGCGAGACATTAACATACTCGTTCTACGAACGGACTTCAACATTTTTAATCGAGTCTAAAAGTGGGATCTTCCGGTCAGCATCGAGAGGCACCAACCATGTTCATCGGTTATGCATGAACTAGTGCATTTTTTTATTACAGCTTGATTCCAAACCGTATTTTGGTACAGGTATGGAATTTTCAGCATGTGACATCGGTAGCCCAAATTTTGCAGGCCAACCATGGATATTAGGTGGGCGTCGGCCAGGGATCGAACCCCGGACAATGTGCATGGTCTGCGAGAGTCCTAACCACTGTGCCACTGACGCACACAAGTAACACCTCTCCCTTCACCTCACACACATACTGGTCATAGCGTCATAGTGAGTCACAACATGTCAACTATGCACACTGCTGTTGAGTGTAGCTTGTGACTTCAGAACCTTCTGAGTAATATGTAGTACCACTGCACGAACCACCATTGATACGTCCAATACCTTCAAACCATAACTCATTCGGTTCTCTTTGAAAAAGTGCTTCCAGTCAGCCAACCTTTCCCTAAATGTCTGGAACAGTTTACCGAATGTTCAGATATGATTTCCGGTTAGACAGATTGAGTATTTTCTTACCACACCCTGGGCTGATGGGTGATCTAATAATGGTGTTCGACACTGTGAGAAGTGAACATAGGACCGGTTTATCTTCTCCTTTTCCTTTCACCATATTGAAACACCTTAAATGAAATGACAGAAAGTTTCAAAAGTTGGTGGTGAGATTATATGGCAGAGGGTAGTGGTTCTTCCACCAATTTAATAACCACTTGCATCGATTCCTGCAAAAATATTGTGTGTGGGGCCTCAACACAGTCATTTTGAAGGGAAAAGAAAAGCCCAAACACATACTAGAAAATTGTTCGCATATGGAAAACCCCTTCCTTTTTCAGACTAAATATTTAAACCTGGATCTGTGGTATTTTGAGGTTGTACATAGTAACCCGCACCTCAAAGAAAGCTCACTGTAATTATAACGTATGTCTCAGAGTTCTTGGTTAGTTACCTTCCCAATTCATAGGACCGCCTTCTTCATGGTATAGGGGTAAAATATAATAATTAAACAGATAGATAAGTACCTGAAAATATCCAAAAACCAGTCTTAAGACAAATTTAACTCTAAGTGGCTGAGAGTTTTGACCATCTGGAAGTAAACGCACTTTCATTAGCCAAGGGACTCTAAACACTCTCTTTTTTTTTCCCCGACTACGGTTATGCCACTACGTATCCTGATAGACCTTTGTCTTGGTTATATAAGAGGCCCATGATTATCTTGGATAAGGCAAAGCTTCACACCTACAACATAATGTAGAAGGGGAAATAAACTTATTTATTTATTTAGAGTTCCTTTGTTGCCTATCCCCTCAGTGACGCTAGTTGCTATTGGTTTCAAGTGGCCTTGCCTTTGGGGGAAGATTTAACTGATGTAATGTTGTGATTTCACAGACACAACTCAGGCTAATAGGTGGAAGAAAGTTATTATCCTGGAATGAGGACAAGTTATTCATAAGGTAAGAAGGACCAAGTGGTATTGTCAAGATACCACTTACTCGTTTTATGTAGCTGAAATATCCCACTTTCATTTTATTGAGGATACACTACATTGCCTGCAAAAGTAGTGCGTCAGTTCATGAGTTCCATAAAGTCTACAGAATGTTTTCTATTCAGTGATTGCTGTTGCGAATTATCCGAGAAAATACATTTCCCTGTGGGATGTAACGCAAGGCTGAATTCTTAAACTGTCATCCTTATATCAGTTCAATCCAGTCACACATATATCAGTAGGATAGTCTGTAATTGACTTCAGAGACTTATCAGGGATGAATTAAGTCGAATGCAGAAATTAGGATCTAGGACCAAATAGGCATCATACTATCCGACCTTCACATCTGATGCTTAAAATATCGATTGCCAACAGGCATTGTCTCCGAACACTGGGGAATTAAATCGTCCAAATAAGATTAGAGAAACAAAGCGTGGACGGTCACATGACTGCAGACCTCATCTTCAGTGGATCATTAACAGTCACTGAGAAAAAAGAAAAAAGTCATATTATCCTAGAAAATAAGTGATGGTAATAGAATTACTAACCCCGCCCAGTTTACTAACTGGTCTGTAGCCCAGGAAACGGGGGTGGTGAGCGTAGGGCTACCGACCCTACACTATAAAAGTTGTCAAACTGCTACAAAAACTTCGACGCACAAAAAATATATATTAAAAATACCAGAAATTTAAACAACAGTCTTGTTCTTCGCTGGAGTCGCAGAGGCAAAATGACACAACGGGCTGGTTAAAGCCTTCAGGAGGCCAGTCAGCCGATGTGTTTTCATCCGATGAAGGCAAGAATAAGAACGGTACCGTGAAATGTGCGTCAAACGTACGAAGCTAGCAGGGAAGACTGCCCGAGTAGCCAAAGAAATGGGAAAATATGATACAGAAGTGTTGGGTATTTGCGAGAGCAGATGCTGTGGATGTGGGTTATCCAAACTTTCAACTAGAGAGTCAGTAATCTACTCCGGCCTGGTCACCCAGATGATCACTACGAGCTCACCGAAGCCGTGAATGGCTATTGAGATGTCACTAGTGGCAGCCAAATCGCTAATGCAGTGGGAAGCAAACTCCACCTCCAGGATTATGGCAGAAAGTTTCAACTCAAAAGGCAGGAAGGAAGGTCACATTATCCAATGCTACGCACAGTGCTAAAAACAACTCGGAAGAGAAGAGTAAGGAAGTTTTTACAGACAACCACGGAGAGTAGTGTATAACATCCCAAATGATGACATCACAATCTTAATGGGCGATATAAATGCAAGCCGAAATGGGAGCAAACAATACAGAAGAGAGCTCATCAGTTGTCAAGAGGTTGCGGGAGAAAAGAACGAGAACATAGAGTTATGCACAGACTTCCGAGTTTTCAGTGATTTGATAATCGGAGGGAGGGTCTACAAGCACAAAAATGCACACAAAGTAACATGGATTTCGCCTGATGGACACACCAGGAACCAGACTAGTTTCATATCAGTGCTGCTCAGGGAAGTAACGACACGGCCTGCTGGTCACAAAGTCGCTAAAACAAGTGGATATGGGCTCAGACTACTGTCTGTTTCAAGGAACCTTTAACGTGAAGTTGAAATCCGTGGAAAAGTTGATGCAGACCGGTCAATCACGTCTCAAAACCGTTAATGCCCAGCTCTTGCTACGCCGGTCCTCTCGCTGTCCCTCGAAGCATTCCGGAAACGCTTAGTATTAACGGACGCAAAAACCAAAACACCGATTGGCGGCTCCAAAATTTTTATTCTAACATCAGCATATGAGCAGCATAATAAACTAAGGTCTATGAACAAATATTACAAAGATAAATCACGATATAACCTCAGATGGTTTTGATCTTTCTGAACAGCAATCGATGAGACGATGACTGGTTTATTGATGCCTCCGCGAAAATATAGGGAAGTTGGATTTGAGCAAACAACCATGAATTGATCGTTCAATCTTCAACTACACTGACAAGACCACTGAAACTCAAGTTGCGCACTCAGAAAATGAAGGACAAGACCACAAGGGATACCTACCTCTACTACAGATCAGATAAGGGTGAAACAGCGACACTATTTGCTATCACCGAGGAAACCTGAGCGGAAGAACATTGAAACCCTCTCAAGGAGATATTCAAGGAAACTTGCTCAACTGTTCTAGGGAGAAAGAAGAAGCAAGACAAGGAGTGGCTGTCTCTCCCTGGAAGGTGAAAGAGATGATGACTCGATTAAAGACGCATAACAGGAGGAGAAGTTAAGTGCAGTGTACATCTTACTGAATAAAGAAGTAAAGAAGGGTGTTAGCAAATGCAAAAGGCAATTCTACGACACACTGACTGGTAAGTGATTCCGAACAGGCCGCAGGTATAAGAGACCAGAGAACATTATATCAGATAACCAGCCCTGTATCCGTGAGGAGATCAACGCAGGCGAAACCTATAAAAGATGTCCAAGGGAACCTGATTACAAGGAGGGGAAAGAAATAAAAAAATGGGCTGTTCATTTAAAAAACTCTTCAACGGATCATCATCTCCGACCCGTCGAGAAATACAGGCATCAACAAAAAAGACCACAGAACTGCTAGTGGACACCGAACAAACAATGGCTGGATCAGAGAGGCACAGTTGGGAATAAAGCGTCGATAATAACTTACTAAGCCATTAAAAGTGTGGAGACTTTTCACCGTCTGTGGCTCTGGAAAGTTCAGTATAGCCTCAACCTTAGTAGCCAGTGGGCGAATGCCCTTGCAGTCAATAGTGTAACCCAGGAAGTCGAGTGAGTCAACACCGATCTGACACTTTTGAATATTGATGGTAACACCATGTTGGCGTAAACTTTCAAATGCCAAGTCCAAGTGCCTAAGGTGAGTTTCCTTGTCTGGACTGGCAATGAGGCAGTCGTCTAAGTATGCGTATACAAAGTCGAGACCGCGAAGTACTTCGTCAATGAAGCGTTGGAATGTTTGGGATGCATTCCGGAGACCGAATGGCATACGTAGAAATTCAAAAAGTCCGAAAGGCGTAATGATAGCCGTTTTCGGGATGTCTTCTGTTGCCATCGGGATTTGGTTATACGCTTTAACCAAGTCGATTTTGGAGAATATAGTCGCGCCTGATAAGGTTGCCGTCAAGTCGTGTATATGAGGCAACGGGTAGCAATCAGGGGTTGTTTTGGCATTCACTCGCCGGTAATCACCGGTGGGTCGCCAATCATTGCTATCCTTTTTCGGAACCATATGAAGTGGGGATGCCCATGGGCTATTCGAAGGTCGAATGATGCCAAGGGTAAGCATATG